CTGGGGAATTTGTTGGCACCTTATAAATAATAATAATAATAATAATAATAATACATATGTGTTTTCAATTATACAAATCCCTCTATCAAGTATTAATATATATATATATATTTTACATTTTTAAATAAGCATATAATCTAAAAGAGAAAATGATATATTCCTTACATTTATTTTATATTATTTTAAAGGATCTATCTGCTATATATTTACTTTTAAGTTTGACATTGTTAGATGCTGATCGTTAATATCTATGGTCTTCCATGCTTCATCTAATCACATCACCGAGTATTTAGATTTTTTTATATTAAGGTATATGAAAAAGAGGAGAAAAAATTAATTCCTATCTTTAGTATATGAAGTCGTTGCCCTTTGCAATCTATTAAACAGGGAAGACTTAATAAGCTTGAAAAATCACAGTATAAAGAAATATTCATAATAATCCTATCTCCACACAGCCTTTTACAGAACATTATTAAATCTATTTATTTTCAATTCTTGAAATGATTGTTATGAAAAGTGGCAGTCAGGTGACAGTTGTTCCTATAGTGACAGGGATTTTTCACACAATTCAGAATGTGAGACCAACTGACCTTTTTGTTTTGTTTGCATATTTATCTCTGTCAGTGGATTCTCACCTCAATGTTTTAATTAATTGATTCTGGGCCTTCGAGAACAGTTAGAAGTACAGAAGACAGTTTGGTAAGATTGTTAGTTATAATTGATATCATGTTGGAGGCTGTTTATTTAATTCAGATGCTTCAATAGGATTGAATGTGGCAACATAATAATTAAAAAAAAAGAAATGAAATAGTTAGACTTTATTCAATGGAGGATAACTTGCTAATAGAGAATGACTCTAAAACTTCTGATCTGCACTTAGTAGGTCTATAGTTACTACTGTTGCATTTAATTAAAACAAGCAAAGGAGCAATTATTAAAAAGGTTACTTAGATAATATACGACAACTGTAGAGATAGCCACATTCACACAATCTACATTGAGATCACTGGACAAATCACAAAGTCATTAACTGCATCTTATCTTATTTCATCTCTCACATAAATTCCTTCTAACACTTTACAATAAAATATTGCAATACCAATATCAATAACAAGTGTCATAAGAATCTAGATCACAAATAACCATATATACTTAGCATGTGGCACGATGGGCATCCTTGAGGATCTTGTTGAGCGTGTGATATTCAGAAATCCATTTCAAACAAATCCTTAATATACCATTTTAAATCCACAGACACCTCATTGTGACTCCCTAATGTGACTGATAAAGAACTAGAGTATAAATACAATTTTACTAAATTCCCAATTGTCAATCAACATATTTATTACTTGCAAATATCCTTAAAACCATTTAATATATTACAATGAATTATTAAAGATTCACAAAATCTCCACAGCAATAAATTGTACATACGCTTCCCTATTTTCCATTTAGTATTTTCTAGATTTTATAGATATATATATATATATCTATCTATATATAAAATACAAATAACTGCAAATTTACATGTATATACTGCCTGTATATCTGGAAGGGAATATCTCCTAAAAGGCTGTTAATCCCTTTTATGCCTGGGGGTGCCGTTACAGGAGATATTCCCTTCCAGATATACAGGCAGTTACTGTAGACACCCATCCACCGAAACGGAGAAGCATATGAATGATCTCAAACATACGAATACTGTAAACAGCCGAATAGGAAAAACCATACGAATAGGTTTACACTCCTAGCAGTCGAACTGGAACAGCATACAACAAGTCCCCCCAAGAACGAGACAAGGCTCCGTTTTGAGGGTCAAGCAGGAACAGACAGAGCTGTGGGTTTATTGTTCTTATATACACATTCGTACACATTAGTACCACCCACAGGGTTTTGGAAAACAACCAATAAACACGTACAATACACCCAGACACTCCCACACAAAATCCTCCTCTCTGTCTGTGATACAATTACCTTGCACAATGGGTAATGTAATTATCACAGGCAGAGAAATACCGTTTTTTCATATTATTCATAATTTTAAAATTATGCATCACATTAATTTATTTACATTTTCAGAATCAGCATACTCCTAATACAAACATATGTCAAAATCATACAAATTGGTCCAGTGGTTCAAAAGATAGATCGTAGTCCTTTTGACCAAATGAAGCATGGCTTTTCTGCCCAAAACCAGTTCCACAGAGTCATCTATCCTGGAGATAATTGGGAAGTAATCCAATTATCTCCAAGGACAGAGGCAAAACTCCATTGAACACATGGCAGCAAAAGACAATAAAATACATAAAAATATATAACTGTGCAGCCATTGCATAAAACAGGTACATTCAACATGAAAATCAAGCATTTCAACATGGGGCCATAGTCTAAAGGCAGCAGGCGGGCAACCAGGCTCCTCCAATGCACAGTGGTCACATCATATATATATATATATTTTCAGGTCCCAGCACTTGATGTTCCCGGTCTTTTTGTGCTCCGTTGCACAATTTCCAACCAAAATATATATACCTAGTAAAGAGAACTCTGGAGTCTTGGTAAAGTAAAATCAAACTGCTGCTTTATTTAGCAAACACAGTGATAAACACAGTAGTCGACGTTTCAGTCTATGCAGACTTTTTTCAAGACAATTTACAATGTGAGCTTGTGGCTGTTATATACATAAAAAAAACAGTTTAATTGGAAGGTGTGGAAATGAAAACGAGGCAGTGTGACATCACCTGATGATGTGGTGTGAGAGAATTAGCATAAGTGATCAGGTTTAACCCTGTGAGGGTGAGAAAAAGCACAAAGAATATATATACAAAATATACATAAAAAGATATATGAACAGAATATACAAAAAGGATCTCTGAGAACAACCTAAGAGAATACTATGTGTATTGTTCTGTCTGTAGTATCAAAGCTTCATATTCGAAAGAGGCACAGAGTATAGTTTAAATTGTGACTAATATGTATCAGAGTGCAGAGCTGGTACAGAGAAGTAGAAAGGAGGATACTAAAGTTACTATGAAAGTTTAAATGGCAGATACATAGATAAAGATACTACTCCTACAAATTTGCACAGGTCCAGACAGATCTCCATCTTTGACACACCAGTGATAAAGAAAATATATTTACTAGCATAACAAAGATTAATAACGTAAATTAATACCGTAACCTGATAACATCTAGGCTATCATCCACCCCTTATAAACATGAACATCATTTGGACCCAATATATACAGCTTCATCTTCATTATTAAAGCGCATCATCTTTGTAGAAAGCAATACAAGTTCTTCTCATTTAGTCCACATAGTAATATCGTTCCCAAGGTGTGTATCCAGAAGGCTTCACGTTTCAGTAAAGCTGTGTCCCTGTTGCCTCCTCTCGGGGAGATGATCATATGGTCTGAGACTTGCCAGATTATGGCCAGCTTCTACAAGTTTATTGCAGAAAAAGCTAATAGTATTATGACGGGTGGAACTACAATTTCTTTTAATAGATCGTAATTTCTCGCAGTTTTTTAAATTGTATTCATATTAAATTTTGTTTCATATATGAATAGTTCATGAGAAATGAATGCCCTGCTTCTCCTGAATGAAATTATATATATTAAGTGTGGGTGCACTTTAAATGAAAGAGGTTAATTATGGTTGAACAGACATATAGCACAAATTCCAGTTTTTGTTTACATTGTGTTTTGATCAGTACTATTGACTCTGTCCTGAAGGGGTTAATGTTACTGTGTTGTACTCCTCAAAAAGAAAACAACATTACTTAAAAACAAATATCTTTATTATCCTTCCAAGTTCCCATATGGTGGGTGGACATGGTGCCTGTACTCTTCTATAGCTGTACACTGATCAGCCACAGCATTAAAACCATTGACTGGTGAAGTGAATAACTTCATATCTGACAGTCAAATAGAACCGTCAAATACCAATATAACAATACTGTAATTCTGGGGCAATATCCTCACAAGTCAAACTGAGAGGTCAGTTTATAGGGAAAACTGTTGCCTGGATACAATTCTAAAACAATTTCCATATGTCCTTTGCAGACTTTACTTGCTGGAAAAACACAGGTGTCAACTGCTGTGGATTTCTGCAGTGTGCAGACCGGCAATGAGGGCAGGGTTGAGGAGTGGGTGGAAGATGCTGTGGAGGATGATGAGGTCCTAGACTCCACAGTCTGGAGGAAGAGGGGCCTGTTGCACAGAGGCACTAGCACAGCATAAGAAGGAGCAGGGTGCAAAAGCAGAGCGGCCATCCCCTAGCGCTCGTCGGCATGTATTATCTTTAGCATTCCCACAGTTAGGCAAGTAACAGATGGAGTGATAAAAGGAACCATAACAAATTTAACGAGCCATTCACAGTTTCATAGTCCGGTGACCGGGATCCAGACACTGTCTGGGCGGCGGTCGGAAGACCGGGATCTAGTATGTCTGATGTTGAAGTTAGGAGTTACAGTGTGGAATGGATTAGCACGGTCTGGTGCAGGGTAACCGCACGCCCCCTGATGTTGAGCACCAGCGTTTGTGCAGCCACATACCAGGACCCTGATGCAGCTTCAGTAAAAAGAGTACTGGATACCAGAAGCCATCACCAGATTGATCTGCAACTTGAAACAGGGTGTGACATTCACTGTAGCGGCTGTGCGCTCTTTCAGCCTTCTCATCCTGCTACTGCTCGCCTGTCTGCACTGCATCGTAACTTTGGCCTTTCCACTCACCTCCTTGCACATGCTGGAGAGACTGTGCGAGCAACAGCAGGCGATAGTGGAGTTTCAGCTGCAGCACGCACGGGTCAGTCGCTCTGCACCAGACTTGCCCTCTAATTGATCAGAGTTAAAGGATTTCAAGTGGACTCATTACAATTACAGAGCCTCTAAAGTGTCCTGTATTGTTATTTGTCGTCACTACCTTCCCGCGTCGGGAGTGGGTTATTTGCGTGCCTGCTGCCTTCATTGCATGTGGTAGCCATTTCTCAGGCTCCCTCTCCGGAATCGAACACTGATTCCCTGTTACCCGTGGTCACCATGGTATGCGCAGTAAATTGCATCGAAAGTTGCTATGGATGACATACGAATGCGTTGTCTCCTTGCCATTGGGGAGCCCATTAAAAAAGTGCTCTAGCATGACAAGCTGGGTGATCTCCTCCGGGAACTTGGCTTGATGAGAGTTGAGCCAGCTCTGGGTGGTCCTTGTGATGTGCCATGTCCACTCCACATGGGAGTCCTTCTCCCCTTTCCGGGTCTCACTAAACTTTCTGCGGTATTGCTCAGGTGTGACCGCATACCGGGCCAGGAGAATCTGTGTAATAAAGGGATAGTCTCTGATCTGCTCTTCTTGTACAGCCCGGTAAATATCTGCTGCCTTCCCCACTAGTTTGCTGGCCAGGATGGTGACCCAGTCGCTGGGGTCCACGTCTTGGAATAGGCACTCGAGCTCAAAGTCTTGTAAAAAGTCATCAATGCCTTCTTCTGCTTCCTTAAACTCTTTGAAGGCATTGTATGGTGACTTGTGGGCCAGGGTGGTTGTGCTTCCTGGCACCCCCTGCTCCCTTCTTTTTTCATCTGGGTTCATGGAGGTCGCCCTCTGTCTATTGGCAAGGACATAGGCTTGCACCTCCAAAAAGGTCCTGCTGACGATATCCTCTGAGAGTGGCTCTCGGTAATATTCCAGGCACCGGTCCACCTCCTTGCGTACTTCCTCCTTATCTTCGACCCCTGTCTGGGGTTCGTTTCCTCATTGCGTAACTGGTCATCCTCCATGAGCGCAGCAGTCAATTTGGCATTGTGTCAGGATTACTGTTTGATCCAGCACGTAGAACTGTATAGCATGGATGACAAATAAGTAACGTATTAACGGTCCTTAGAATGGACAGATTTAACGTACATAGAATAGTCAAAAATACTAGCCGAGGTCAGGAACACAGCAAGGGACGCAGCGATGAGGAAAGCCAGGAGTCAGGATACCAGAATATAGAGAAGTCAATAAACAAAGCCAAAGTAAAAAACCAGGTAGAAAACTAATAACAGGAACGCGCTCTTGGACAACCACAAGGGAAACCACGACAGGGCATTGAGCAGGATGAGAACTGGGCCTAAATACCCCTCCTTTAGTTCTGATAGACCCCAGTTCTGATTGACCCCAAAGTCAGTTACCAGGTTTCATTTGCATAATTGTTGCTCAGCATCAACCCTTCTGTGGATTAGGTTGCTGTGTGGACAGTAAATGTCATTAACCACATTTCTATAAGTGGATGAATACATGACATTACCCCCCACCTGAAGAACACCCACCGGGCGGGCAGAACCAGGCTTGAGAGGAAATTTGGTGTGGAAAGCGCGGATCTTACGGCCCGCATGCAGGTCAGGAGCCGAAACCCAAGAAAGATCAGCAGGACCGTAACCTTTCCAATCAACCAAGTACTGTAAAGTGCCCCGAGAAAACCTAGAATCCATGATAGAAGATAACTCATACTCCTCCTGACCACCCACCACCACCGGAGGGGGAGGAACACAAGGAACGGTATATATATTGCAGACAAGAGGTTTGAGTAAGGACACATGAAAAGTCTTGGGAATCCCCAAAGATGCAGGAAGAGCCAGAGAGTAAGACACTGGATTGATCCTATGAAGCACTCTATAGGGACCTAGGAATCTTGGGGCAAATTTCATGCTAGGGACCTTAAGCTTGATGTTGCGAGATTACAACCAAACCCGGTCCCCCACTTGGTACACCGGGTTGGCACTCCTACGCTTATCAGCAAAATGTTTGAAGCGTTCAGCAGCAGCCCCTAGAGCAGTTTGAACCACCCAGGTATCCCGAATGGAGGCCAGACGCTCATCCAGAGCAGGAATGGCAGTATCAGAAAATACGGCAGGGAGAACCGTAGAATGCCTACCATTATTGACAAAAAATGGACTGTGCTCAGAGGAGGCATGAACAGCATTGTTTCTAGCGAACCCGGCCCACGGGAGTAGTTGGGACCAATTGTCATGTGTGCTATTAATAAAACAACACAAATAAACTTCTAATGACTGGTTAGCCCTCTCAGCTGTACCATTGGTGTGTGGATGGTAGGAGGAGGAGAAGGCGAGATCAATCCCCAATTGTTTACTGAACACCCTCCAGAATCTGGACACAAACTGAGAGCCCCTATCAGACACAATATTGTGAGGGATGCCATGCAAACGGACAATTTCACGTATGAAAATTAGGACCAATTCTTGCGAAGATGGCAACTTCTTGAGAGGAATGAAGTGAGCCATTTTAGAAAATCGGTCTACAACCATGAGAATAGTACTGAACCCAGTAGAGCTAGGAAGCTCAACAATAAAGTCCATTGATAAGTGGGACCATGGATTCTCAAGAACAGGAAGAGGCTGCAACAGACCACAAGGAAGTGCATGAGTCACCTTAGAAACTGCACACACAGAACTTGCCTGCACATACTGCTTTACATCTTTCCTGAGTGAATCCCACCAAAATGATCTAGTGATCGCGGCAGTGGACTTATTGATGCCCGGGTGTCCAGCAGTTATATTGTCATGGAACACTTTAATGATATTAACCCTTTCACATAGGGGAACAAACAGTTTATCACACGGTTTAACACTGGGCGCCTGAGGCTGGGCCTCCAGTATGGTGCCAAGCAGTGGAGAAGACAGTGAGAGGACAGTAGTAGCAATAATACACTCTGGTGGAATATTAGGAGATGTCACCTGTTCCAGAGCTGACTCATTATCAAATTGCCTAGACAAGGTATGAGCCTTGGTATTTTTAGAACCAGGTCTATAAGTAATGAGGAAGTTAAAACGTGAAAGGAACAGTGACCATGTAGCCTGTCTGGAAGACAAACGTTTGGAATCCCCTATATATGCCAGGTTTTTGTGGTCGGTTATGATCAACAGGGGGTCCTTGGAACCCTCCAAAAGATGTCGCCATTCCTTGAGGGCAAGAATAATGGCCAACAGTTCTCTATTGCCAATATCGTAGTTGCGCTCAGCAGGAGACATCTTTCTGGAGAAGTAGCCACAAGGATGCAATGGTGTTCCCTGGCTTTCTCTAGGAGAGAGAACAGCCCCTATCCCTGTCTCGGATGCATCAACCTCCAATATAAAAGGTTTACTGGTGTCAGGATGTTTTAGTATGTCGCAGAGGCAAATTCTTGTTTAAGAGTTTCAAAAGCATTCACAGCCACTTTGGACCATACCGTGCTATTAACCCCTTTGCGAGTCATATTAGTGATGGGGGCTATTACAGAAGAAAATCCCTTGATGAATCTTCTGTAATAGTTGGCAAAACCAATAAACCTTTGAATGGCTTTTAAACCAGAGGGTAATGGCTAGTGTAGTACAGCCTCTAGTTTTTTAGGATCCATTTGAAACCCCGATGCAGAGATGTTGTAACCCAAAAAGTGGACTTCAGGCTGGCCAAAAATATGCACTTTTCTAATTTACAATAAAGTTTATTTTTCAACAACGTCTGCAGAACCTGTTTCACATGGGAGTGGTGAGTTTGAAGATCAGGGGAATACACCAAAATATCGTCCAAATAAACCAAGACAAATTAGTAAATGAATTCCCTGAGTACATAATTTATAAAGTCTTGGAATACGGCCGGGGCGTTACATAACCCAAATGGCATTACCAGATATTCATAGTGTCCACTACGGGTATTAAATGCCGTCTTCCACTCATGATTCTCTTTAATTCTAACCAAATTGTAAGTGCTCCTAAGGTCAAGCTTAGTAAATACTTTAGCTCCCTGAAGTCTATCGAACAATTCGGAAATGAGTGGGATAGGGTATGCATTTTTTACAGTGATTTTATTAAGTGCCCTGTAGTCTATGCAAGGGCGTAACTCACCACCCTTTTTCTCAACAAAAAAGAATCCTGCACCAGCTGGTGAGGATGGTTTTCTTATGTGCCCTTTGCTCAAGAATTCTTTGATGTATTCCTCCATTATTTTACTCTCCTGCTGAGATAAGGCATAAACTGCCCACTTAGGTGGCATAGCACCTGGAAACAGGTTAATGTCACAGTCATATGCTCTGTGGGGAGGCAATACATCAGATTGAGCCTTGTTAAACACCTCCTGAAGTTCTCGGTATTGTATGGGAACTCCAGGAGTTTGGGGAGTGGTAGTGGGAAGGTCAATAGTATCCAATCTCTTTAGTACTGGTTTTATACATCTCCCCATACACTCTTTACCCCATTCTAATATTTCCCCATTAGCCCAGTCAATATAGGGATTGTGCTTACTCAGCCACAGAAACCCTAATATGATAGGACATGATGGAGAAGTAATAACCTGAAACGTCATCTCCTCCCTATGGGAGGCCCCAATAGAGATCGTAATAGGGACAGTTTAGTGGGTTATAAGCGGTTGTGTGAGTGGTCTACCATCAATAGCCTCTACAGCTAGCGGCGTAGGTCTCTCCCTGACCGGTATCTCATCACCCCTAATAAACTGGACATCAATAAAATTTCCAGCAGCACCTGAGTCCATTAGGGCACTGCAATAAAACTTCTTGTTATCAAGGGAAATAGATACCTCAAGGAGGAATCTACTTTTGTTTTTGTTAGAGGACAACTCCATCACACCTAAGATCTGTCCCCTTAAGGTTCTTAGGTGCGGAAGTTTTCCGGACACACTGGGCAATTAGTTATCATATGTCCCTTTCTACCGCAATATAGGCATAACCCCTCCCTTCTCCTATACTGTTTTTCAGCCTCTAGTGACCCCCAACTGCATAGGTTCGGGTTCGGACTGTACAGGGAGGTTAGACAAAACAGGTTTAGAGAATTGCGGTGCTAGGGACATAGCCGTACGTCTGGTCTTGCTTCTGGTGACTTCCCTGAGTCTTAACTTATTATCAATATGCATGACAAACGTAATAAATTTGTTAAGACTCTTAGGTAATTCTTTAGCGGCTATCTCATCTAATATAGTCTCTGAGAGACCCTTTTTGAATGCTGAGATTAACCCATTGTTAGTCCAGTCTACCTCGGAAGCTAAGGTACGGAATTCAATAGCATAATCCGAGATAGACCGGTTACCTTGTC